AATTCCCCTAATTTTATTAATCAGAGATGCTAACTAAATACCTCTTCTCAGCCTGTACCACCCACTAAATCAAAAGGGCCAATCTTTTAGAACTGACCGAGATAAAGCCTTTATATTAGCCTATATCAATGTTATAGTATTATACACTATATTGTCAAAAGTTTTGGGACGTCTGCCTTTACATGCACATGAACTTTAACGACATCCCATTCTTAATCTGTAGGGTTTCATATGGAGTTGGCCCAACCTTTGCAGCTCTTCTGTTTATGGGAAATTATGACCATTCTTCTAGAAGCGCATCTGTGAGGTCAGACACTGATGTTGGACGAGAAGGCCTGGCTCGCAGTCTCCACTCAAATTTATCCCAAAAGGTATTCTATCGGGTTAAGGCCAGGACTCTGCACAGGCCAATCAAGTTCCTCCACACCAAACTCGCTCATTCATGGTTTTATGGTCCTTGCTTTGTGCACTGATGCACAGTCATGTTGGAACAGGAAGGGGCCATCACCAAACTTTTCCCACAAAGTTGGGAGCATAACATTTTCCAAAATGTCTTGATATGCTGAAGCATTAAGTATCCTTTCACTGGAACTAAGGGGCCAAGCCCAACCCTTGAAAAACAACCCCACACCATAATCCCCCCTCCACCAAAATTTACACTTGGCACAATGCAGTCAGTCAAGTTCCGTTCCTCTGGCAACCGCCAAACCCAGACTCGTCCATTGGATTGCCAGAGAGAGAATTCATTCGTCACTCCAGAAAAGATGTCTCCACTGCTCTAGAGTCCATGTTTTAGTAATAAGGAAATTTCAAAAATGAACTTGCACAGGTGGCAACCTATCACTGTGCCACTCTTGAATTCACTGTGCTCCTGACAGCGACCCATTCTTTTCACAAATGTTTGTAGAAGCAGTCTGTATGCCTAATGCTACGTTCACACCGGACGCGAATAGGGCGTCAGGCGCGAATGATTTCAATGTTAAGTCAATGCAAAGACGCTTTACGCGCGTGAAAAATTCCTGCGGCGCGAATGAGGCGTGGAGCGCGGCGCGGAAGACGCGAATACGCCTCATTCGCGCGTCAAGTTGGCGCGAATTGAGCGTTGTGCATTCACGCGTTTGACGCGAATTCGCGTCTGCCGCCCGAGTTGAAAAATCTGAACTTTGGCGTGAATTCGCGCCGCGTTAACCAATCAGGAGCCTAGCTGCTTGCTCACGTGGTGAAGTGTCTGGATGCTTCAATAAATTATTTTGTATATGACTAAATGCATGGTGGGATTATGCACAACAAAGCAAATGTTTTATCACTTAAAACATTATTTCTATATACGAGACATGTTCATTTTGTATTGAATGTTATTCATTCCATATCTAGAAATAGTATTATGTTGTAAAGACAATCAACATATGTGCATAAATTCGTGTCTGGACGTGAGAGAGAGAAAAAAATCACAGGACAGGTTAATAACTTTTGAAGGCTGGCTCTATTTATCATCAAAACAAAAATAAATGACAGCTAAATTAGATGGATGAGGGCGAGGGTGATCCTCGCTCAGATGCGGGACAACAGGTCATCAAACTGGGCGCGTGACAGGCGGAAGTACCGCTGACAGCGGCCGTCATCCAGCGCAGCTCCTGGAGCGAGCAAATGGTGAAACTCGCCAAACGGTTCGGCTCTGAAGGATCCGGTGGACACAAATATACGGCGACGATGATCCCCATGCCGCTGTTCTGCTCTCCAGAGTAAATACAGAGCGGTAACTCTCTTGATGAATGCTCGGTCGACATAAAAACAATGGCCGCCAACGGATTTTGATTCTGACGCGCGTAAATTTCGCTTCAAACTTTACGCGCGGCAGTTTCGCTCTTGACACGCGAATTAACACTAGTGGTCAAGCGTCAAACTAGACGCGTCAGGCGCGAATTTGACGCGCGATTCGCGTCCGGTGTGAACGTAGCATAAGTGCTTAACTGAGGCCATGGAAGTGATTGGAACACTTGAATTCAATGATTTGGAGGAGTATCCCGATACTTTTGAATATATGAATATTTAGTTTTTTGTTTTACCCTCACCCTCATGTCATTCCAAATCTGTATGGCTTTCTTTCTTCTGTGGAACATAAGATACTTTAAAGAATATTGGTAACTAAACAGTTTTGGTTACCATTGACTTCCAATGTTTGAACAAAAGATAGTACTCAAAGTATCTTTTTTTCTTAATCTTTGGGTGAACTCCCTTTAAGTTTTAGTCATTTTGTTATGTGCTTTTATATATATATATATATATATATATATATATATATATATTAGGGCTGTGCAAAAATTAATTGCGATTAATCGCATCCAAAATAAAAGTCTGTGTTTACATAATATATTTGTGTGTGCTGTATATAATTATTTTGTATAAATAAATACCTATGCATGCTTGTATATATTTAAGAATTATTTGCGCTTAAATTCTGTATATATATAAAAATACATAATCTATATTATATAAATATAAATATTTTATATATGAATAACACATTTTCTTAAATATATACATGCATGTGTGTGTATTTATATATACAAAATAATTATATACAGCACACACAAATATATTATGTAAACAGAGACTTTTATTTCGGATGCGATTAATCGCAATTAATTTTTGCACAGCCCTAATATATATATATACACACACACACACACATTTCTATATAGCGTTAATTTATTTTATTTCAGTTTTAGTTTGTCATTTTAGTACTTCAACTTATTTTATTGCAGTTAGTTGTTATTTGTAATTTCGTCCCCTTGGAATTATAAGGTTCTATCTGACATTTTTGTCAAAATTGAGTTATTCACATTTTCTTATTCTGTGGCAATTTATTTACATTATGTGATGTGTTTTGTACATTTAGGGTCCCTGTTATTTTTATGTTTTAAAGAAACATGTTCCCCATACACATTTTCCTATAAGGAACGCAAAAACTTTGAAGCTCAATATCTCAAAACTGCTCAGAACGCAGATAGAACCTTATAATTCCAAGGGGACGATTTTCTATTTGTCGTTTCTATTTGTTCCTATTTCAGATAACAACAACTTTCTAAAAAAGTTCTAGTTGTAATTTCAAATAATAACACTATCCTGTATTAAACTGAGCAATGCAAAAAGAGAATAATCAAGACAGATGGAGCATTAAACTACTAAAGATAAAAAAGAAATCCTAATTTAAGATCAGCAGGTTATTTTGTCTTCCTATCCTAGTTTGTGGATCAAGAAGGTCAAATCTGAATAACGACCATTTCATATTTCTAAAAGAGCTCAGCTCCTCAACTGTCCTTTCAATTAAGAGTCATAAGCGCACAGGAGATTGGCGGTGACAGGTTAAGTCTCTGATTGGTGTATTTTGGAGAGAGGATGTGAGCGCAGTGGAGAGTAGGGAAGTGTAAACAGTCCTGAAGGAGGAGGTTCAAGGCTCAACTCTGATCAGCAGAGCAGTAAAGCTGAACTGGAGCCCTCAGAGTGTGTGCACAGACTTTCATTTCAGCACAGGTCACAACATTTCTGGCGTAAAGTTACTCAACATTGGGACACTACAGCCAGGGCAAGCAGAAAAGATGGAAAGCAAAGGCCTCGGTGGTCTGTTAGACTAACTATACAGTTCATGGTTTCTGCAGGACCGTGCCAATGTGAGAGAGGAGTTAAGGCCAAAGCTAGTTAATGCAGTCACTTGGATCGGTCACTTCCTCTTTAAGGCCACTGCTGTGTTGTACAAGATTAATGAATGTAAAATTTTCAGTGACATCTATTATGCCTTGCAAACATACATTTGGCTTTCTGAAACATTCTACATTGCTGTATCAAATTATGCTTATAATTTAATTTAACAATTTTAAATAATATTTTTTTTCAGAAATTAATATAATTCATTGTTACATGACCGAAAAGACGTTTCTAATACTAATAAAAGTTTACTATTTCAAATAAACACTGTTCTTTTGAACTTTCTATTAGTAAAAGTATCCTGAAAATATACACAAATATATATATATATATATACACACACACACACACAATATTTGACATTCTTCTTGAGCACTAACTCAGTATATTTGAATGATTTCTGAGGGATCATGTGACACTGAAGACTGGAGTAATAGCTGCTGAAAGTTTGAATGGTAATGTACAAACTAATTAGTAATGTTTTGCAACATTGTGTTTATGAATATATGGAAAAGAGAAAAATATTGTTAATGAACAAAATTATGTTGACAAGAAAGCTTGGCATTTAAATACAAATCTCAATTTCTCGAATATTAAGAAAAAATAAATATATTGTTTACTCCTGGTATACGGAAGCCCTGAAGCGCAACATAAAAAAAAAAAATCTAGCATTTCAAGATTAAAGTCAAAACCTATAGGCTAAAGTCTATTCCGGCGCAGTATATTTTATAACGTCCTATAATGGTAGCCTAATGCTGGTAGATTGTCACCTGTTGAATTTCCTTTTGATGAAACAAAACACACACACACAGTGTGAAACACTCACAATGCACCATTATGAATGCCTGTGTGCTTGGCAATGTGAAACAAAGGCAAGCACACAAGCAACTTCTATGGCAGACTGTATTCTCGTACTCTCGAAAAGTTCCGACATCAATCTCGAAATGCAAGATTTTTTTATTTATTTTTTTTACGTTGAGGTTCAGGGCTTCCATGCTGGTATGATAACTGACATTCAAAAAAAAATAAATAAATAAATAAAAAATGATATTTTTAAAAGGTTGATACTGATAACATTGATATAATGATATAATCAATTTAACAAATGATACTGTATACAATATTGCTGAAATTAAATGAACATAACACAACACAATATTTACTGAATTAATGTTTGATTTTAGTAAATACATTTTGCAAATATAATATGTATTTAGCCTTGCCAATAACAATGGCCTTACACAAATTTTCAACCATTAAAAATTCATTGGTCACATTTCACACAGTGTATATACCTTGCTGGCTCCGCTTCTGAGATGTCTCCTTTGAAAGAGGCGTTTAGTCTTGTTTCTCTGGTAGCAAGATCATCAACAAGGTTTTGTCTTCTGTCTGCTTCAGCTTGCATTCTGGCATTATTCATTAAGGCATTAAAATGACACATTTATGACTGCATAATTACGCTCATCTCGAAGAAAGATACGCTCAATCATTATAAACATCAATGACTAATGAACACAACATTCACATTTATGTCCTAGTGGATCACCAGCGGCATTACTGACCACGCTGCAAATGGTTTTTTATAAAACACTGCCACCTATAGGTGCTCATGAGAAATCACAGTTTTTTATCATTGTTTAGTTTTAGTATTTTTGCTCAGCCTCATTTCATATTAGAGTTTTTTTTAAGCTAAAAAGCAACGGTCAATGTACTTAAGCCACACTTCCAGAACTCTTCACATATTCAGTGACACAGAAACCATTTGTTACTGCTATCACACAAAATGCATTCAATGACCACATTTTCCAAAATCCATGAACACTTTTTCATTCATACTTCACCATCTACAAAACACAATGCATTTGCAGCACATTTTTCAATTGCCAACACACTGCTTTCAAAACTGATTAAAGCATTTAAATTTAGCAGAATATTTACAATGAAATGAAATAATATTTTTTTCCAAACACAACTATTTGCAATTTCAGCTGAAAGCCGACCAAGGTGTCCTACTTTTAGCCTCAATAGAATTAGGTTGTTTTTTTCAGTCATCTTTTGGTCGGGATGGCTTCAGAATGATTTTTTTTAAAACATTGATCAAGGAAGACACATCCGTGGGGACAGAAGAGAGAGAGAGGACAAGGACCTTCACAGAACTGTAAATCCATCCATCTATTCTAATATTTTCCAAACCGCTTGTCCTATAGGGTTATGGGGAGACTGCAGCCTTTCCCAGCGTCTTGCGTCATAGGCAGGCAAACACCCTGGACAGATGGCCGGTCCATCACAGGTATGACACACTCGCACCCATTCATATTCACATTCTCACCTACGGGCAAACTTACAGCCTCACCTGTCCTGGGGGCTGTTTCATAAAAGCCGCTTAGAAAAGTCCAAAACCTGACTTGAATGAGCCGAGCTAAACATCCGCGCTTAAATTGGTTCCATAACAGTAAGTTGTGGATCATATGATCTTACTAATTTGAGTCAGGTTTAAATAGTCTAGATAATTGCGCGTGCACGCCATTCTTTAAAAGTCCTGAAAAGTCGAGTCAAATTGAATCGGTCAATCGATTTACTGTGGGCTACCATGGCAACAAAAGGATAGAGCAGCGATGTTCACGGCAACGGAACAGCGTTTGCTATTGGAAACATAATGAAGAATTTAAAGATGTCATCACCAAAAAAAGTCAATACAGCGGCAATAAATAAAGCAAGAGAGAAAGTTTGGCAGGAAATTTCTGATCGTCTCAATGCGTAAGTAGCGGTGTAAACTATTTAAAATACTTCAACATTTAATGCGTGTCACAATACATTGCAAAATTTGTGTGTGACTAACAGTAACGTTAATTGCTTTCACGCAGCAGCAACTTAAGTGAAGGAAAAAGAACCTGGCAGCAGGTGAAAATAAAATATAAAAATATAGTTCTGAATGGTAAGTAAATCTAATGGTATATAGATAATCAATGCCAGCTTGAAGTTACAACTATTCAGGGTTTTTGTTTTATTATTTTCTTTATTGAAGCGACCAAAAAGAAGACTGAGTTTGCTGGCACTGGGGGAAGGCCACCACCAGTCAGCTTCACTCCTGCACAGGACCTGCCTGGCTTTGGAAATTAATAAAGGGAGGCCCGTCCTTGAGGGAATAGAGGGGGGGACATCATATAAGGAGTGAGTATATAAAAGGTGTGTGTTTTATTATCATTATTCCTTCATGACTAACTGATTTTCTCCTTCCTTAGGCATTGTAGGCCTAAGTACATCATAGCAGTAATGTCATGTGGTACTTGTGCTATTATATTTACATACATATAAACACATATAAATACATATTTTCGTATGCTTTATGGATCCACCAGACATCATGTTGCCTGTGAGTATGAGACCTTTTAAATCAGTTATGTAAGCTAATGAGTTTAACTGAGTTTAATCAGTGGTCACAGACAGGGAGAAGGCCCATCAGTTGAGGAGGATGAGGAGACTGTCTGTATGTTCAAGGAGGCCTGAGGTACTCACAGGTTCCATCCATGCTATACTGTATTGAATATTAAAAAGTGTACTTGTGTGATAAAATGATCATAATGTGTTTTCAGGATGCTGACACTGTTCTAGAGCCCTCTCAATCTGAGACCACATGTGACAAAGTGAGTATTAAGAAATGAAAACAATGCGACAAGAGTAATAAAATAACTTAAATGTTGCTACATAACCCAGAAAACATTAAAGGAGAGTTTAAATGATACTGCCTTAAACAAATGGAAGCAACTGATATCGACATCCAGTATAAAAAAAACTAAAGATGAGGAAGTTGGAGCTGGAAATTCAACAGCTACAGAAAAATGCAAGTAGAACTACTATTTTTTTAAAAAGGAAAAGAAAAAAAAACATTATCTTTTTGATCATTCACAACATTTATTTGTGTTTTCACCCCTAACATGCAGATTCACTCTGAATAAAGACAAATCACATTAAATACTTTGACTTCTGTGTGTTTGTTCAACTAAGGAAAAAGTTGAGGGGCCAGTGGAAAATTTTAAAGGCTGCACAGTCATGGTTTAGACCATATTAAACATAATAATTATTTGCATATGTGTGGGCTTGGTAATCTACAAATATATGCAATCCCATCTCTTGAGAACCTATATCGTTCATACAGGTAGCTGTCATTTAATGCCAATGGGTCTGACCTGTCTCTGAAAGTTCTCTCTCTTTGAAATGCCCTCCGCAAGACTATAGCTCCCTCATCCAACACCTCATCTATGAAAGAACACGCCATGGTTACGTTTGGAAACGAGTTCAGCCTTCTATTTATATACTTCATTAATAACCAAACTCATTAAACAAACTCACCAATTAAATACACAAGTTTTGAACATTTCTTAGTGCATTTATACCTTATAACTTCTTACATTTATTAGTAAAGTACATTTCCTTATTTATTTAAAAAAAAAATGCATTAATAGTGGTTAAGTAAAATAAAATGACATCGAAATACCAGCAGGTTAGTATAAATTGTATGCTCGTTAAGCCTGAACTCAGACCTGAACCCTGACAGTTAGCCTGCCCCGGACCAGGCTAGTTTCCCAGCATAAGTTTCCAGGGTAACTGAGTTTGAACTAGTTTAAGTTTGCTTTATGAAACAGAATTCACCAGCATTTGTTGTTTTTTGGGGGTTGTTGTTGTTTTGTTTTTTTTATTTTTTTTGTATTATTACTTAAGGATTGTATTCTGTTTCAACTTTTTTACTATAAATTACTACTAAAGATATAGAGGGGGAAAAAACTAATTGCTGCATTTCTCATTCACTCTTTATGCTGTAATACAGTCAGTAAAATGAAAAAAAAAACGTATTATTTTGCTTTAATGAAATACTGATTTATGTAAAAAAAAAAACTTTAATGATAAAAGTTCATGATTTATTTAATGCTCACTGATGTCAGTGTTTTTAGGTCAGTATGTTATAAATATGACATGTTTTCTGAATGAGAATTGTTGGAAGTGTTATGGTGGAACAAGCTTATTTTGAGGCATATATGATTTTTTTTTTGTTGGTCTGAGTGAGTTTTGGAGGTGAGATTAACTGTTTGACCAAGATTCATATTTGTAAAGCAGACTGTACAAAGAGTTTTGAAAAAGTTGCTTTAGTACCAGTACTAAAGCAACTTTTTTAGTAGTTGCTTTAGAAAAAGTATTTCTAATAAGCATCGTTCAGTTGAACGATGCTTATTAGAAATACTTTTTTTTTTAATCCTAACCTGTATTCTTAATATTAATATTATTGTGGAACACAAAAGGAAATGTTTGAACTGATTTGAACTGTTTGAAGATCCAACTTTGACTGGATCATAACTCAAGAACTTGATTCATGAGCCATATCAACTGGTTCAATAAAAAGAAGAGGCGCCAACGAGTTCATGAACATGTTCAGTGATTGGACTGATCCTGTTCTTGAGATACCAGCTCAATGGAGTACAGGATAATCAGCTAATAATATATTCTGTTTGGCCTCATCAGGGTTAGATGACTTCAGAACCCTTGGAATATATCACGTTAGTTTTTTTTTTTTTTTCAGACTTTTCTAGAGCTTAAAGGATGAGCTACTTTGCACTGCCGTTTAGAAAGGATGAGTGTGAAATTTGCATTTTGTCTTCCACAAAGAAAATGGGTTTGAATCCATTTTTGGATAAACTTTCATTTAAAGAATCTTCAAAACACAACCAACTCTAAACAAACTATAATGAACAGATTCTCAATACGAGTATAATACTGATTTCATATTCTTCATCTTGAGTAAAATATAGCAATATACTGATCTTTACCTTTCAAAATCTTTGGATTCCACACTCAGGATTTGTGCATGAAATTAGTATGAATACTGGAAAGGATACATCTGCCTTTGAACAGCAGCTCGATTCAACGTGTCCCTGAGCTGTGCTATATTCTGTTTGAGCTTCTGTAATGATGCTCTCAGGGTCATGTTCAGCTGTAGGGACAGGTACACAAGAAGAGAGACATTACAACATAAAGACCACTGACACAGAGTGCTCAACTTCATCCTATGAGCAATGAAACCCTGTCTTTACCTTGGCTGGATTTCCTCCAGTTCTTTGCAGTCTGTTTCTTTCATGGATGTGTTCTGCAATTTCTTGCGCCATCCGACAAGCTGCATCATAATTCTGTAACCTAAATAATGGGAAACAAAACAAAAAATAAGCTGATAGTAGTAACAGATCATAAAATGTGTGTTGCCAGTTATTTAGCTAATCAAGATTGTCGTCAACACAAGCATGTGACATTAATCTCATCTAACCAGCCTGGCAACATTTCTACACTTTTCTTTTTTCGCCTCGTAAAAAATAAAAATAAAATCACACATATGTACACAAACACATTATAATAAAATGAGCCATAAAGGAAATTAAAACAGCTATGTTCAGTCTCAACTGATGTGGCTGATATTAACGTTACAGATCCACGGAACTAAACAGCAAATTGAGTTTTATGAACTCTACTGCACTAAACTGTAGACCTCAGTTGTCAATAAACGATAACAATATAAAATGCTTACCAGAAATCCTGTGACATATTGCGGAACTTTTGTTTCAGTTACCAGCGTTTCTGTAGAAAATGAGAAAATCACATCAAAAAACAGTTCCTGTTTGGGCATGACGTCAGACGGTGGCCTCCTACAGACACAATTCATTCGGTACTTCAAATCTGGGACAATAATTTACAACGTTTGAAAGAGAATAGAAAAGAAAGGAGGAGATATAGCCTACAACTACAAATTATCTTAACGGCTGACTTAATGTTGCTAGTACCACTGTTGAACATATGTGACATTATAAATCCTATGCATTCCAATGATTTGAATCATTAGTTCTTGATAAGAATTATGAATATTTGAAAGAGGTAGCCTAGTTTTCACAAAAATATCGAAAAGTGAATAACAAAATAAAGTTGAGGTTTTAATTCAGCTCAGGTTGTGTTTAATGCCAATATTGTTCATATTCACAAAATTAATAAAGTGTTGTAAAACCAGTGATGATATCAGTGATTCGCATATCAAATCATATAATCTAAATTTTGTTCATCAGTTGTTTGTGTGTGTGTGTGAGGTACAATATATATATATATATATATATATACAATATATATTAAAGGTACAATATACTTTAAGAATAGCAAAAATAACTGTATCTATGTTATATATTTCTATTAGATATGTACTTACATTATCCCAAAAGTTTTCACCAACTTTCAAATCTCGAGATATGCATAGTTTAATTCGAAGACATGGGCCGTTTCTTTATTTCCGTTTTGTCGCCCGTCTATGGCATCATGTAACCTTTGACTCCTCTATTTTCTCTAACTTCCTGCGTAACCCAGCGAAATCAACAAACACAAAGGGGAACGCCGGACTAACATCAATAAAAGCAAAGAAAACAACGAAGAAAAAAAAGTAGTAGCTAGTATCCAGGGGTGTAAAGTAACGAATTACAAATACTCACGTTACTGTAATTAAGTAGCTTTTTTCAGAAATTGTACTTTAGTTTAAAATTGTGTAATTTTACTTTTGTACATTTTACTACTTGAATACATTTTAAGTGATGTATCGGTACTTTTTCTCCGCTATTTTCTTTCTGTTTGTGGCCGTTACTCGTTACATGCTTGTTTTAATTTTATTTTTATCCATCAACGTGATTGGATCGAGTAATCGGTCTCGTGACTGTCATCAATTCAAATTAAGCATAGAAAACTTACCGCCTATTCTGTTACACGTGACTGCTGTGGAAGTGCATTCATCACGCATCAATTCAATCCAGATATCAGCGTCTTCCTCTATGCTAAGGTACATTTCACATTTCTGCTTAATATGATATTTATATAGGCTGCCAAGGCTGGCCTGTCTACATGGCCTAACATTTGGTCTGAGGTTGGGGGAATTGCGAGACGAGTTCATAATGCGTGAATTCCCACTCCCATTTACTTCACAATCACATTATACAGAGCCACGATCTGTGCACTGCCGCGTCTCGCGCTCGCCATGCCGGCAGATTCAGAATCAGTGCACCATGTCGTTAAAGGTGCCATCTAACATAATAAATCAAATCCTACTCCATATTCCATAACAGATGGAGGGCAGTATACCTCCAAAAAATGACTTGTGCTCCTACCATCGCGCATGTTATTCAAATCATTTGACATGATAGTAAAAGGTTGGAAGACCGCAGTTTCACGTGGAACATTTGGAGATTTTTAGAGATCAGAGACTCAATGAACTAAACACTATGAATCTCAACACTAAATGATGAAGACCACCTCATAGATCTCAAAAACAAGCTGGTGCATTTCGACGGTATGGGAAAATAAAAGCTTGGGCAATTATTTGAAGTTTATGGTATTCGTTTTGTTCATATTACACTTTTATTGTTAGTGAATTAATTTGACAGACAGCATTCGCTGATGTTGATCAAGCTAGCGCCGTGAATTCACCGTGAGACACACGCAATTGACACTTAACAAGCAGGTTAGTTAAGCTCTCAGATTCTGTCAATTATATTACGCAATTCAAAGAATAAATACCGTTTTGGCGCTTGTACATGTTACACTACAGATCCCTAGCGCACGTGAACCGATCGTCTCTACTAGCTGGAAAAAGAACATGAACTCTGTTGAAAGATACAGTATGCTACAACTTACCAAAATGTATTCCTCATGCATAATGTCGACCAATCATTTTTTGAACTCTTCCCTGAACTGAAATGTAGTAATGGGCTGTATTTCCACACGACTGACATCAGGTTCAAGTACACACAAGCCGGCGCGAGCGCGACTCACTCGCGTATTGCAGTTTGGCTGGTGCTAACGTTGCCCGCCCGCATACCGCCTCCCATGGCCGGAACTGGTATTACGATACCTGCCGGGCCGGGGCTAGTAATTTAGCATGCTAATTCAGGTTAATATCTCGGCAGCACTATAACTTGTCAGTTTTTTAATGACATCTTTGCACTTATTTCTTCTCATTCTTTTGATGCGTGTAGCTCATTTTTCGTATATTGATACCTCAATTATTACATATGGCACCTTTAACTTGAACTGCATTACTTAATAAGAAATTAGCACAGCTCGTTAATAAACAGCGTTTTTTGATTGATCCATTATATGATCCGTCTTCATTTGGCAAGTGCACTTGCACAAAAACATTTTTCATGCTGAACTTTTTTTTTGTGTGGATGCTGCTGATAAAACAGCTTAGCCGAGACTTCAGAGACGAAGTGTGTTTGTTTCTTTTGTAAAAGTTTCCTGGATATAACTTCCCTATTTAATGCACAATTTTCCTTACAAATTATATTATCAGCATTACAATGTGCAGTAAATGTAGCCGTGTAAAATGTAAGGGATGATGCCACCCTTCTAGAACAATGCATTTACGTTTAAATTGTAACATATTTAATAGCATGGAATAAAAGTGTGTAATTAGTGTTAGCTCATTATCTTAGCCTTTTTCAGTGCATTAGTTGAGGTAATATGATAATATTAGTGATTCTCATTTATCAAAACACTAACTTTGGTAACGTTTTGGAGAGAAATTGGGTATTTTTTATTTTATTTAACCCATCTCTTGGTGTGTGATGCTGAACTATCATATGAGTTTCTAAAGGTTTTTGAATTCTTTGCACAGTTATGAATATTGATATTTTATGTGCAACAATAACATGCTCAGGCCCAGTGGCTTTTCACCTAATTTTAAATGCTCTTTCCCCCAAATAATATGATTTAAATGGTGATGAGTGTACTGATTTGATGCATTTTAAAACGATGGATGATAGATATTCTTCAATCTTTCTTTCAAAGAACAAAATATAATGTTAATTCCAGTATGTGCATTTTTTTAAAATTTATAAATTGTAGTGCACAGTGTTTATTATAAGGGTTAGAAACCGCACCTCAGTACTCACTACTCACTACTCTTGAGTACTTTGAAATAAGCTACTTTTTTACTCTTACTCAAGTAGTTTTTTGGACAAGTACTTTTTACTCTACTCACACTACATTTTTTGGAATGTAATGGTACTTTTACTTGAGTATGTTTTTTCAGTACTCTTTCCACCACTGCTAGTATCATTTTGCAACTGCACCAAATAAAACTTGACCGAGACTATTATATGTAATATTTATATTAGTCTGTATTAGTTATGGAACATGATTAAGCTTTGCCTGCATGTTCTGCAGCTGGAGCCATCTAAAAGCGCAGACGTTAGGGTGACCAACAGTCCTGACAAGTCCTGTTTTCATGTTCTGTCCTGGCTGTTTTTTATAAAGTGATGAAAATGTCCTGGTTTTCAAAAAAAACAAAAAAAACTGCTGGCCAAGTGTCCTAGTTTTTGGCAAATGGGTGAAAAAATATGATCCGAGAAGGGTTTGGGACAGGAGAAAAAGCATGACATGGGTAAAAAGTGGGGTTGCATTTAAAAAATGGAGAGAGCTTTGTGACAAGCTAAATATAGGCTATAGAGAGATGCTGATCTCGCTTGCATTCTAATAAACAGGTAGCACCCATTCAGCTAACTATATCTATCTGTATATTTTGTGAAATGATGATGTCATGTGTAAAACGCAGACGGGCTAGCTCTCATGGATAGTAGTTGTAATGTAAATTCATATTTGTTCTATATATAGCTGGAGAAAGTATACTTCATATGCAGTTCACTAATTATCTTGTTCGATATCATTGTATAAACGTTATTATAGTTATTAACGAAAGGTGACCGTGTTTTTTAAACATCTATTAATACTAGCTAGATGGGGTATTGATTTAATAGGGGTCTGATAATTCATATATCTTTCTGTTCGAAAAGACCTGATTGTCAAAATGCATAGTTAGAATGAGTGAGGAATGTGGGGAATGACAGAGCGTGCGTGTTCCAATGGAGATTGTATTGCTGGTTTGCTCGCGCTCTCCCTAAGAAGGCTGTCATCACGTACGTCTTTTGTTATTATTTAGATCGAGTGCCCCCTGGTGGCCGAAAATTACATACTGTATTTTAATAATGTACACATGTAAGCAAAGCTAGCACGCACATTTTGAGAGACATAATACAAGCAGCAGCACTGGGAGGAAGACAACTTTTCTGTTACAGGCAACTTAAGTTAGCCTTGATGCCAGCCCACAACATTTTTTGGTCGGGAAGTTCGGTCTGGACTCGATCCATTGAGGATTAATCATGATCTGACAAGAAACGTTTGGGCCAATCAAATTGCCAGGGCGGGCTTTATACGATGATGGACAGATGATCTGCAAGGACGTAATCATCACATTATCAAAGAGCGCTTAACTGGTTTCCCTCAGAGATGACTGCAGCTGGAGAATTGAATATAAATTCCGCTGTCGCGTCTGTTGTGAAATAAATCGACAGCGCATTCATTTTAATAGACAAACAGAGAACTGCCATCAAGGAATTTGTCGATCTACATGATTTGGCAAAAGTGTAACTTATCAGCTGGCTCTGACGGTCGTTAAGAAGATGGGACGTAATGAAAAGCCTGTGGTCGTTGTGGTTTCTCCTTTGGTCGCACTCATGGAGGATCAAGTAAAGGACGCAACACTCATTATTTAACTTCTAAAATAAGTAAGTTCTATATTCGAAAACTGCGCAATGCAAAGTATTTGACTTA